ACTAAAAATCAAAAGCATAAACTCATAATAGGCAATCCTATCCTTTAATTTTTTTCATTAAAATTTCTTTTACAAAAAACTACCAACATTTGTTAAAAATTGTAAATTTCACATAAAAATTAAGTAAAATGGCTAAGTAGTTTTAGGTTCTGGCCTTTGTTTTTATTCATAAAATTTTTCAGATAAAAAAGTTATAAATAATTGCTAAAAATTAAAATTTCTGGAAAAAAAGCTAGGCTCTTTAAGAGTAATAATTTAAACCAAAACTTTTTAGATCACATAATAATTGATAATAATTATTCATGTAAAATACAAAAATTATTTATTAATCATATTTAATTTAAATTTATTGAATCTGTATATCTCTAAGTTTCAGTATATAATCTTGGACTCATTTATTATGAACCTTTTCTAAATAATATACTAAAAAGAGGTTTCTTTTTCTAATTTTATATGCGTGAAAATAAGTATTATTTCAATTTCATAAAATTTTAATGAATTTATTACTACTATTTTTCATATGAAAATAATTTTCTTTGAATAAATTTAGTCAAAAAGAAAGATGGTAAACACCATTTAAGTATTCTATGAATTTAAGTTAATATATATATTTTATAATTTTTATGATAAGCTAATAAGATATTATGAATAAAAGGAAGGCATAACTTGATCAATAAAATAATAATTAGAAATTATAGAATTACTGACCAACTTTAATTATTTTGTTATTCACTTGCATATTTTGCTATTGCTACATATATAGCTATTGAACAGATCTATGAAGTTATTAGATCAAGATTATTGAATTTCAGTATAAGATATGGTTTGAATTTCAAAGCAAATGCTTAATAAACTAAAAGATTTAAACCTAATAGAGATCCTTTTAAGTAGGTATTTGTTTCAAAGTAAATAATAATAGATATCATTATAGTTTTTTACCAAATTTTGATAAATTCCCAATAATAATTTTCTTCTTTGTATTCATTAAAAACATAGCATATGTGTTTTCTTAATTTAATTTAATCTAATTTATTTCTCAGAATAAACAATAATATGAAAAATAGAGAAGGTATAATAAAAGAAATTAAAAAATATCCTGGAATAACAAATGACATAACCCATTCTTAATGAGTATTAGTATAATATTGTAATGATACATCTCCTTATATAAAATCAATATTTGAAATTTTTCTTATGGATATTAAGGATGCAAATCTAATTAATACAAAATATTTATACTATTTGGCAAATTCAGCATAATTAGAAATATATAGATAGATTGCAGTATTAGATAAAATACTATTGTTGAATTTTTCATTTTTCATTACAGAGCTAATCTTATATCCCCCATAAATTATAAGGAATAAGATCAATTGTACTATAAATAGCATAATAATTCTTAAATAGATTAATTAGATATTATGTATATCAGCTGTATAACATTCTAAACTAGTTGCCATAAATATTGATGGATTACTAGTTCTTTCGACAAACCCAAAAAATAAAGGAAACTAAATATTAAATGTAAAGATTAGAGTTAAAATCCATAAATAATTGATAAACATTTTTATCAAAATACCCTTATGGTCTAGAATATTAAATAATTATAATACCCTAATTTAATTTAAATAGAATTTTACTAAATCTTTATCTCAATTTTAACGATTAAAATAATTTATTTGATTCCTCAATACTTCTTAATGTTAAAATAATTTATATAATTGACCTATTTTTATTTTAAATTTCCATACCATAGTAAAGCAAAGATTATTGTTAATACAATGTTAGGTTTACTATCATCACATAAAGCACATTTTGAATCTGAAATAATTTTAAAATAGTTTCCATAACCTCTAATATTATATATATCACATTCTTCACATAATGCTCCAGTGTGACCAAGTTAACATAAATCATTTCCAACTTACCAACCTCCTAAACAGAATTATTGATTTTTGAAACATTACTCAGTTAAATCTGAAAAATGATTGGGCCTCCAAAAACCTTCAAGTAATTCTATTTAATTAGACATTATATTTTTTAATTTTGTTTTGTCAAAAATAGAACATTTAGAATTATTATATGTTACAGAATAAAACCCTTTATCAGGTTCACATTATTAACAACCCTCATTATAATAAAATTCACCTAATTAACATTTCAAGGTCTTTCCTTTTATTACATATTGCAAAATATTCTCTTAAAAATTATTCGTACAATTAATCTATAATTAAAAAAAAATATTTTCCTCTTAATATGGATTAAAAAGAATTGAAATCTATCCTAAATCAAAACCATTTTTCATTTAATTATAGAAAATAGTTTGATTAGAATTCTATTGTATTACCGTTTTATTATCTGTTAACTAAGTATTTAAACTTATATCACAAGATGAATTTGGAAAGTTAACTAACTTTTCATTTAAACTATTTTTTTAGTTTATTTGAAATTCTCTTATATAAGTTAAATAAGAATAATTTTAAGGATTAAATACTTTATAATTTTAAATAATTTAATTGCTTGGAATCATAAACGCATTCGTAAATTTAATTTTACCTTATTCTAAAATCTGGTATTTTTTTAATTTCAAAAAATTTGATGTAATATTCTAAAATTTAATTTGTTCTGAAATCATTTCTTAATTATTTATTGATAATGATAAATGATGAGGAACTTCAACTACATTATTAGTTAATAATATTGCAGTATTAAATTAAATCAAAGATTTTACAAAATTTTATTGATTTAACGAATTACTTCCATTAAAATAAATTCCACCTCCTTGAGTAGCATTATTTTCAATAATTTATGATTTTAGGATTTTAAAATCATTTTTACAATTTAACATGTAAATAGCTCCTCCAAAAGATTCAGCAGTATTTTTTAAAAAATTACAATTAATAATATCAATACTAAGTTATTTTGAATAAATAGCTGATCCTATATTACCATAATTAAGTAAGAAGAGAGAAGAATGTAGTTTTATCTTTTAATTTTTTTATTAAAGTGTATTAAAATGAATACATCCATATTAACTTATATAATTTTTTGTGAAAATCAAGTCTACCAGCTTAAATTTTTAAAATGACAAAATATAAAAATAAAGTAATCCCAATTAACATTCTCTACAATTGCTTTAACTAATTGAAACCGAACTAAATTAGATTATATTATTAATGGAAATACTCTCTAAATAAATTAAACTACCAGAAATTTTCATATTCTTATTTAAAATATCTAATAGAGCCTGAATTTAAAATATTTAGTAATTTATTTTTGTAGATTCTATGATGTTTTCAAAACTACATTAATTATACTAAAAGTAAAATATAAATGTCTTTATTCTTAAATCTTCATAATTCCATTTTGAAAATATAGAATATTTATTAAAATTTATATTTTATATGCTAATGTATAATTTTGATTCTATCTACTACTCAAAGTGTAAAATATTTAAAGGATAAAATGTCTTGATTGAGTCAAAATTACAATTTGAAATAATAATATTTGGTGAATCTGATATTTTTATGATTGATGAAATATATGTTCCTTCGATAATCAATCCATCAATAATAAGAGAACATCCATATAAATTAATAACTGCATTATCATTAATAATTTTATCAATCTCAATTTAATTAATTTATTGGATCATTTCAAAATATTGAATCCAAGCTTGATCATTTTGAGTTATTTTTAAATTTTGTATTATAATTTTATTTAAATCAGATTTTTTAAATGAAAAATCAATTTAAATAAATTGATTTATTAGTGAAATACAATCTGTCAATTAAACGTTTTATATCTTTATAAAATTTTATACCAAAGATGGAGTAATTGTTAAAATAGAAGAGTCCAATTTATTATTTACTCTTTAAAAAATTGTATTAATTAATTAAAAATTCAAAAAACTATTCTTCGAATAAATTCTAATACATCCTTGGCTATCAAAATTTAATGTGCTTTAAATTTACTATATATTCAACGATTCAAGATTAATTATACCATCTCCTTAAGTAATAATATCAATAACTTGGCTACTTTAAGAAAGTATATTCTCAAAGTATCCTTAAGTTAGATTTAAATTTGTTGTAATAATTTAAAAACCTCCTCCTATATTTTTCATTTAAAATATTTATTTTAAAAACATAATAATTTCATGCTCATTGAATTGGCTTTAAACATCAATTGAATAATATTGTTTCCAAATATCATTTGATAAAATATTATGATTTTTAATAACTATATCATTAATATTAAGTTTTGCAGTACTTATATAAATAAAAGGGCTTGTCGAATTTGTTAAACCATTTTAACAAAAAGAAGAATTTTGTAAATTCACTATACTTTATTAAGAATATATATAAATAAGACCAGCGGAGTTTGAAGAATAATCATCAAGAATCTAATGAAAAAAGTTTTATTAAAAAAATAAGTTTTTACAAGTAATTGCTTAATTAGTTTCTGAATAAATCAATAAAAATGATATTAATTCCCCTTAAGTAAATTTTTAAATTATATTTCCTTAAAATGTGATATCCTAAAAATATATCGTTTAATTAGTATTTTAAAATTATAAAACATTAGTTAAAATTTAAATAAAAGAGTTATCAATGCTAGAAATATTTTCAATTCTGATAAATTTCATTTCAAGGTTTTAAAATCCTTATATTAAAAACAACTAGTTTTTTTCCTTATTATCGGTACAATTTTATTTCAAAGGAATTATATACAATTGCTTTTAGTTAAAATAAGTTACATTTTCAATTTTTATATTACTAACTTCAAATAATGAGAAATGGCTCTAAAAAAATTATTCTTTTAGAACACAATTTTGCAGATGAAATCTTTTAGAATTTAAATAAAATAATATGTATTTAAATATTTCTTCATCTATTCTCTCATTTCCAAGTAAATATAAATTGTAAAAATATATTGCTGCTTCATTTTCTTTAACTTCTAATTTGAGTATAACAGAATTAAAAAATGTATTAAATTTTATTTAAAAATCATCTATTTTCATTAAAGATTTTCCTTCATATTTTTAATCAATAAGAATAATTTTAGAGTCAATAAAATTATTTTGATTTATATAAATTTAAGAGAATTACGATATCAAATTGATATAAAATATAATAGAATTTGATACCTGATTTTTGGAAAATTATGTTTAAATAAAGTTGATCGATAAAATTCCTTTTCCATTTATAAAAGTTGAGTTAGTGAAATAATTATTTTGAATATTCATATTAATGATATCAACTTAAACATTGAAATTGGTGTGGAATTACAATATTTCACTTTATTATATAGAACAGTTGATCATTTCTAGATACTCAATAGTAATTTTATTTTGAAAACTAATAAAATTAAATAAATTCGATTAATAAAATTAAGAATTATATATTTGCAACTTTTGGATAAATATTTCACTATTAGATTCAAATTAGGAGCCGTCTATAAGAGATTAATTATATATATTTATTTTTTCAAATGTCACATTTTTCAAAATGAGTTTGCGATATTTTTTTACTTTGATTGAATATGATTGTGTTAGATAAACTTTAGAATAAAATAGAGTATTTAGTATAATTAAGTCTAAAGATTTTTCACCATTACTTAAATACCAATCAGTAGGTCTGTTAATAAAAAATATCATTTAATTTATCTCAACTGAATCAAAATTATTTAAATTTAATTTTCCTATAAAAATTTCCTCTACATGATATTCTCTTTTAATTTAGAGATGTGTTTCTTAAAGGGAAAATATTTTCTTTTTTAATTTGTTTTCCATCACTATTATATCAATATCAGGGCATAAGAACAAAGATTTAATTTAATTTATTTTTATAAGAATCTTCTTGACTCCAAATTCATTACAATATTAAGGATTAATATTTTTTTCGTAATGCTCACTAAATATTTCATTAAATATTTTGTTTATATTGTTACAATTCACATCAAACTAATAAAATAATTATTTTAAATACTTTATATACTAAATTATCAGTACATTAATAATTGTAGCAATATTTGGCAATATTTGTTTAAGGATCTATAATAATATTCTTATCTTTAATTGTTTACAAGCATTTATATGTGTAAGACTTATTTGAATCTGTTATTACAAAATATGGATTAATTTTCTAGTCTACATAAAAAATAATACATTAATTTCTTAAATTGTTCTAGATTGGCAAATTGAGCATAATTAAGTACATAAAAGGCACTTTCCATTTTCAGAAGACTTTATAGGTTATTTATAGTAATTCAAAGGACATTTATTACAATGAAACTATCGTTCTTACTCTATGCATGATAAACAATTTGTATCACAATATTAAAGACATTTGATTTTTGAAATAATTTGAAATCCATTTTAACATTCTAAAGGTAGCTCAACAATTTTATCAATGTTTTAAGTAGTAGGATAAAAATAATTATTTAGGAATTACATTATAAAACTTTAAACTAATTGTATCTAACTATCTTATAACTAGGCTTATCCTTCTATACAATTTTTAGCATTTTCAATTGAGCATTTATAACATAAACCTGTTTATATTGAAGCAGTATAGCCATCTTCGCACAAAATGCATTTAATTTCTTTCTATGGATCTTAAATACATTATTTACAATTTTCAATAAAAGTTAAACAATTACTAATTTAAGGAGCTACTGTAAAGTCTTCAATTTAAGATAATGTACAAATTTCAATATTATCTAAACTAATATAAGATCTGATACAATTTTAAATAGATGGTTTACTGTATAAACATTTGCCTTTATTAAAATCAAACCTAAATTCATTTTCACATAGAGCACAACCTATTTTATGAAACTCATCCTTATTAAATTAATTAAAATTGTAATAAAGCGTACTTTTACTTAAATCATTGCTTGAATATTCAAAACAATATTTACAATATTCAATATCACATAATTTGCAATTCCTTAGTGAATCCAAATAATAAGGTTTAACACAATCATTAGATTTTGGATACAAATATTAAATTTCACATTTACCATTAATTACTATAGCTGGTTCCATACACAAAACACATTCAAGACTCAGAAGATTAACTTTACAGACTAAGCAAAATTGCAAATCACATTTATAGCATCTCTTTTTGTATTCAATTGGTAAATAATCATCATAAGTTGTTATACATAATTATTAGAATTATTGGGTATGAAATTAATAATCATCATATTAAGGACTTTAATAAGTATTACACTGCAAACAAACATTAATATCATTACCATCTAAAATAAAGTATTAAATATCTTCCTTTATTTATATTGATATTTAACTCTCATATGAAGATAAATTAATTTCACAAAAAAGTTTTTATTACCATGAATCTGGATTTTATAAGCAATCTAAACATGTAATAAAATTATCCTAAATTATTGATGGACTAAAATTTAAAATTATTATTACCATAACATGCATTCATTTTCAAACTCAAAATAACCAAATTAACATTTATTTAATGGTTCATCATCATAATTAAGTAATAATCCTAATTTTTAGTGATCTTTACATTCATAACTATCAATAGTATCATATGGACATATACAAGATTTATGTGCTGGTAAATAAATTCTATCTGAAGAACAAGATAAACAATTTGAACTTGTAGGACCATCACATCTTTCACAACTAAAGTGACAAAATGCAAAAGAATCAATAAATTCAGGACAATTATCAAAATCCATATCCTTAAACTAAAAGTTAAGATAATTTGTTGATTATTTCTAAATATTTCCAATTTCTAATTAATATCTTACTAGATGAAAATGATTCACAAACTCAAAACTATCATAATAATATTCCATAAAATCTTCAAAGAATGTTACATAAAATTAAAATTCGTTATTTATTACACCTACTGATAGATAATGCCATAATTTAATATCATTAAAAATACCTATTTCTTTTTGAATGAGAAGTAGATTATCAGATAAATCAGGATTTATCAAGGGGAATATATAACTGTAAGTAGTTATGAGAATTTTATTTCCTGTAGACGATAACACATAGAATAATTAAAATGCTGCTAAATTTTAAAATATTGATTTTTAGTTACTAAAGACAGCCGATAGTTACATTAATTAATATGTAAATTCTTGAGAATCAGCTTTGATATTTGTTATCTTAATCCATGCTTTTAAAGCAAAATTATTACAATTAGTATATTAGGATGTAAATATTTATGATTATAAAAATGATCAATCTTTATCAGGTATTTACCTTATCATATTAAAATTACAGATGCATTCAAAGAGTTAAATATAATTAATTACTTATAAGTAATCATTCCTTCCTTTGTTTTTTCCTGTTGTAAAAGGATATAAATACATCTTCCCTGGGAAAAAAGAAAATTTTGATCCCTCTTCAATTCCAGGGATATTTTAATATTTATCTATATAAAGACCACCTCCGACAGTGAAAAATAAATCTAAATCACTGTAAGGAAAATTCACATCTATTAATTTATTTAATATTATTTCTGGGTATTATATAAAAATTAATTAAAGTTTCTGCTAATATGGCCATGATGTTATTTCAAAATAATGCCAAACAAATTCATATGAGAAATTGTTTATAATTGCTTCAAAATGATGCCACTACTCATTTGAAGCTTTAAAAAATATTTTTCTTTTTATTATTTTTTCTGGATATTCAAGACAATCAAAAATTAAAAAATTTAATAATCTCGAAGATTGTCCAATTACATTGTGAAGATGAAAACATTAACTGTCAAATATTCCTACGGTTCCAATTTGATTGTTTCTACCTAATGGAGTGTATCTGCTCCAAATACCATATGAAAAATAGGATGTCGGAATATAATCATTTGAATCAATCTAAAATTATTTAGTATACATCTAATAATCATCATTCATTTAAATGAAGTAATATTATGTTGTTGGCTCAAATTTGAAGATCAAAAGTAAAAAATAAATTTTAATCATAAATAAATATCAAAATTTTAGTCAATTTTTAAACAGTTAAATTGGCTTAGAATTATAAATATATTTACATATATACATGTACTTGAATTTTAAAGTTTTTCTTTCAAATTAGATCCATCAAACTCTTTATAATTTGTCTATTTATTATATTTGATATTTCTCACTCCTTCATTTTAATCGGAAAAAAAATTTAAGATTCCTAAATTTAAATATTTTTAGTGTAACAATATTTTTGAAAATAGAAGAATTAGAGATCCTTTAAATATAAAAATAAAAAGAGAGGATAACGAATCAGTTAATTATTTATTTTTATCATTTTAATTCATAATTAATAGATTGTTTTCGAAAAAATAATTTTAGCTTTTTTATATGAAAAAATAGAAGAGTTTTTATCAACACACAAATTCTTTGTTTAGAATTTAATTATAAATATGTAAGAATAAAGTATTTCAGTTACATACGAGTGATTTCTTGATGTTATCTAAATAAAAATTTGATTTTGGGTTTATGGAATTTATAGTTCTAATTAAAGTTGGATGTAGTTTTTTAATAATTTATAACTTGTCTTAAAAGAAAATATCAGATACAATTATTAGATTGATTTAATATTCTCTAATGAAATAAAATTCTGAGACTTGAAAAAAGATGTGATGATAATTAAAGATATATGATTATAATAGGATAGATGAATTAAAAAATTTTAAAGGAATAAAGAATCTGATTAGGAAATTAATATTCTTTTTTTACCATAGAATCTGAGATTTTTAATTTGTTCAAACTTATATCATGTTTTTAAATAAATCAATTATGATATTACAATAATCAGATGTATAAATAATATACAAATTAGGCAACGATTGCATTTATCACTATTTTTTCTATGTATTCAGAAAATTATAGATTTAATTGATCGATTTTATATTTTCTTGTTCTCAATTTTTAGCTTTACTTATTTTATTTTAAAAGGGATATATTTATTTTACTTAGAATTAGAAAAATATCAACATCAATAATTTCAATTAAATAAATATCAATCTCAATCAATTAGACTTAATTTAATTTAATAATATTTATTATAATTTATATTTTATCCAAGATGTTTTATTCCAAAAATTTATTAAAATCAATTTTTTGATTAAATATTAAAAGTATTTAAAAAATTTCTCTTATCATTTACTCTCCCACCAAGGAATTTGATCTTTGAAATTAATATAAATCCAACCCTCCTCCTATTCTTATGTAATTAAACAACTACACTTTAAAATAATTAATGAAAAATTGATTTCAATAGCTTTACTTGATGTTATACATTTTTATTCCATAAAATGAAGAGATAAAATTGATATTGAATTTTTATTTGTTAATTTATAATATAGCGAATAATCAAAAAATAATTTTTAAATTAAAAAAAATGAAATTTTTTGTTATTGATTGAATGAGAATATAAAGAAGCATTCCAAATTGTAAAGCCATCACACACATTTAATGTTTGTTTCAAATTTATAATAGTATTTAATTTTATTATGTTATTCCATCAGATTCCTTCAATAAAAGAATTTCTCTAAAAAGAAATAAATTTATTCAAATATTACTAAAAAAGTATATAAATTTTATTCGACTCTCTTAAAATAATTGTAAAATTTCCTCGGCTCATTAACTAAAGTAAAATATATTAATCTTGAAATATTATTGTCAAATGATGGCTGATTATTGATAGATTTAAATATTATTCAATTGCACGACTTTTAAGTTTGAATTTGTTTGCATTTAAATTAATCTTCTATTGAATTTCAAAAAAGACTAAAATAATTACAAGACATAAAGAGACATTTTGGAAATTTGATAGAATTAATTAAGGTGGATAATTTTTAATATTCTAATATTAATAAAAAACTTGGATATGCTAAATTTAATACGACGAAATTGTTGTTTTTTTTCTTCCTTTTCACTATCTGTTTAAACCATTGAATACTTTTGTTAGACCCATATTATATATGTTGATTCTTTACTAAATTATTTACCAGATAGTGTAGTCACTAAATTTAAATCCTTAAGAAACCAATCTATCAAAAAACTCTTTGATTTACCTATTTCCATAGCTCATCTAGTTATAGAGAAGATCTTTAATTGTAGAATAATCTTTTTAAGATATTTAATCAAGAGTTAAGAAAAAAGAGAGGAGCAGAATTTTATGAAATCATCTTAAATTAGAATTAGCCAGTATGGCCTAATACTTAAAATGGTAGATTAATGTTGCATTTTAGATTTATTTTTTGTAGCAACAAAAAAATAATTAACGTTCTTATTAATGAAAAAAAATTTATTCAAATATTTGATAAGGTTTTTTGTTAACTTTTAATAGTTAAATACTGAAAAGAAGAAAATAAATTTTAGTTCAATAGATTGCTAAACAAAATTATTGATATAATTTATAAAAAAAATAATTAAATTTCTGGCTCGCCCTATTGTTCGAGGTTTATTTTAAAATCCGTTTTATTCCAATTATCAATTAATTAATGCGCATATTAATAATAATTATAATGACATTAAAAAAAATATATTTTTTGAGATTAATTTAAAAGGATTTTCCAATCCATTGAACTGATCAGAAATGTATTTATAGATAAGTTAATATTCAATTTATAAATATAATTTCATTGATGTTGAATCTTAATTTAATTGATATAATATTTTCAATTTAAACTGTTAATCGAATTTTAACTTGATTAAAAACAATTTTTTCATGAATATTGTTTTTGGAAAATGTTACATACATTAAATTAATCGAGTAAAATGAAGATAATTAATTTAACTTTTAATTTTAGAAAAGTCCTATATAAAAATATCATAAAATGATTTTTTTAATGATGATTTAATGAACAACTAGATCTAATGTGTATTTTTATTTAAAAAATATTTTGGTTGGAAGATTATGATATAATAGAAATTCTCAATGAACACTACAACTTTATAGAATCGAATCAATAAAAGAATAAACTATGTTTTTAATTTTCAGAAAGCATATCATTTGAAAATTTAATAATTTTGTTATTTTATCCATTACATTTAGCTATTTCAACGATTTTTATAGTATTATATTTAATAATATTTTTACTAAAAAAAGCAGTAATAATAATTTTAATTAAAGTGCCATATACTCATTATGAAAAATGAAGAAATAGATTTGAATAAACTAATATATTTATTAAATCAATAATCAGATTATTTTCAGCTAGGCTAAATATATTTAGGAAACTTTATAAAAAATAATAATTACCTTATAGCTATCCAAACAAGATTATGAAGCAGTAAAAACTTAGATTGCTCCTCCAAAATAACTTGCTCCCTTTAATTTAACAATTATGTTTGGGCAAATTTGAATAGATTTAATTTAAAAAGGAATCTTGGATTCTGGTTTTAATTAATATCCTTGTCGAATTTATATGGATTAGCCTAAATAATTGCATTCACTATAAAACATAACAGTAGAACAATTATCTGTAATTTTAGTATTGAGAAAAAGTATCTTAATAAATGAAATAATAGGTTAGAATTTAGCAGATAAAGCAACTATGCTATCGATGCATGATTAATTTTCTATATATTTAGTTTTTAAACCAGTATAATTTTCCTTATCAAAGAGATATAATATTCTAAAAGCTGGAATACTGAATGATTTAATAGGTTTATTCCATCCTTATTAATGTAAATCAGGTATTTGATCACAAATAATAAAAGAATCACCATTGAAATCACATTCAGAAAAGAGTTCAACACAATTTGACTGTAAAATTTTTGTATTAACTGGAATATATATACCACATTAATCATAAACAGCATGAACAACAGTATCCCACCCTAAAGTATAATAATTATTTGAATACAGGTAACTAAGTTATAATTTAGATTAGTATTAAATGTAAGAGAATCATAATAGATTCTAGGATGCTAGTGAGTATCAAATTCATAACCTCTTAGAGTAACAATAGGAATAGTTCCAACCCGTTAAATCTGTGATGGTATTTCAAATGTCATAAAACGACTGGTGTATTAATAATTAAGTGCAGCAAAATAAGGGTTAAAAATGGTAGCTCTAGCTGTAGATGTCCATAATGATTGATCAGTTCCCAAAAGAATATTCATTTTAACATATTATAATAATCCTGTATTATATGTCCTAACTGAAACAATCATTTATTTTGAATCTATTTGTTCAACCAAGAATTCTATAGTATTAAATATAGTACTTTGGTTTCCATTACTACTTCACTTGATAAATGTATATAACCAATCAAGGATATAATACCATATCTTGCATATTTTAATTTATGATCAATTGTAAGATATATCTTTCTTTCACCTGAACCAGTATTAAGTTCCTCATAATTACTTGATTCATATGTAATTACTGAAACTTTATCATCTTAAAATGCAAACCAATCAACCTTTAATTCATGAAGTTTTGATGAAGAAACTGCTATTCCGCTTAACATAAAACCTTTTTTTGATTATTCAATAAATACCTTATTTTGTTATTAAGCTGGCTTTCTCAATAAATCCATTTTTATTTGTATAATTCAAATCGAAATGTTTTAGTGATAAAAATACTTCTGGAGGCTAATCAAATGTTTTTTAAAACAATATATGGACATCAATTTATCTAGGTAGATATTAATAATTCTCTAATATGTGCCCTGCTTGAGCTTGCATTATTTGTTTACTTCCTGCTTCATACTGAATTCCTATATAACTCACTACAAATGAAAATGCTGAAAATACAACAATAAAATTCATGATTACGAAATTATATTTAAATTATTATTAGATTTTTATTTTCAATCTATAATAACTATTTTCGTATCTACTATTGATATCTAAATATATAAGCTAAATATTATTTGTCAATCAAAACATAATATGGGTTTTCAAATAGTTTTAATTTATATTATAATTTTTATATAATTATGTAATATAAATTAATTCATAAACAAAATTCCACTTTTGATTAATTACCAACAATTCTTCATCATGTCATTATTTTATCATCAAAATAATTTCCTTCTTCAATTAAACTAAAGATAATAACCAAAAGAATCAACTAATCAAAATTGCTCCATTTTTTATTTTTATACTTTTCTTCATTCACCTAAAAATTATAAATGCAAGAATTTTACTTTTTTATTGATCTTATAATTATTTAACTTAGCATGCTGAATAACTTTTATTATATAATCTAACTAATTAATATTATCTTTAGGAAATCCAAGAAAGATTACACTTCAACATATTTTCTCCTCTTTTTCTTATCTAAAATAATAACAAATTTGTTTGCATTCATTGTGGATTATACCACAAATAGTGAATTCAATTTTAAGTTTAAACTCAATAAATTATCAAAAATTTTAAATCTATTTGATTATAGTTAATAAATTTCTATTCCAACATTTCATAGAGTACTTTTTAAGAGGAAATTTTCAAAATTAATTTTGAGAAAGTATTTAGAATATTTTGAAAAAGAAAAGATCTGAAATCTGTATTGAATTCTTTTTAAACGCTAAATTTTATCTTTTTGTAATACAAGAACAAATATCAATTTAATCCTTATATGTGATGGTTGGGAATTATTCAATGAATTAATACTCTTATTAATTTAAATAAATTTTTATATTTATAAAATTGAGAATACTATAAAATAAATTTTATTTTATCTAATTAATGAGAAATTAAGGAATAATTAAATAATTTCATTTATTGTAAAGTTCTTAGCGTTTTATATACAATGTTTTTTTTACAAAAAGTTAAATAAGAATTTTATTTCACTAATTCATACAAATAGTATTGCAAGCCTAATATGGAATTTTCAAGAAAGTATTTTCTTGCAATAAAGTAAGAATTAAAAGATTTAAATCATCATCATCAAAGAAAAAAAATAAAATTAATAATGAATAACCACACATTACTTTTATTTATGCTTTATAAAATTATTAAAGATAAAAACTTTGGAAATTATAAATGTAAAAAATATTTGAATAAAAGAATTAACATCTAATAAATATTCAAGAATTAGTAAATTCATAAATATAAAATAAAACATTTAAAAATTTAAAAAAAAGATTTAATAAAATTCAAAAATAATGGCTTCAAAATAAAAAAATCCTTATAAAAGAATCAACCCTCTAAAACTCTTCAAAAGATCAAAAAAAAGTGGCACACTACAATACTGTCGTTATTTTGGTAACCTTGAATTTGATTATATACATAAAAGTTATCAATTGTATGACACTATAGATAAATTCATGGATTTAAAAATTTTAACAATTTATGAAATAAATTATCATTTGATTATTGCTTAGGATATAATTGAGAAATTATTTAAAAAAATAATCAATAATCACAGCTCAATTATTTTGTTATTTATAAAATGAATTTAAATAGTAATTTCAAGATATATTCTAATAAAAATTTAAACTCAAAATATTTGCTCTATTATAAGTATCCAAGTATATAAGTACTGAAATTTCTTTAGGGCTGTTCACGAATTTAGTTTATGATATTTAAATATTCTTGTAAATAAATCTAGGAAATTAAATTATAGTAAAGAAAAAGAAAGCTCTCATAAATTTTCATTTTATTTCATACGATATACTCTTTTACGAAAATTTAATTGTTTATATATCCATATGAATAATTAAAATTGAAAATACCATTTAATCATATATAACTATCTCATTTATATACTTGAGTTGGTATTTTTATAATGAATCTAACTAAAAATGTTATCTTTTAAATTATTAGAGTTTTTAGATATAAAATAAATCTTATGATTAGATTTGAAAGAACAATTTATTTAAGTGTTAAATATAATGAAAAGTTATTTGTAAATAAAAAGAAATGAAAATAATTAGGATATATATATAAAAAATATTTAGGGTTAAATTAAAATTTTTTTGTTCATTGATTGAGGAATAATTCAAGTAATTTCACTATAAATTCACATCCTGGTTCTTTTTATCCAATTTCTTTACCAGCTAAATATCTAGATCTTCCTTTTCTGGCCTTCAAGTTAGTAGCTAATTATGCTTATATTTTAGCATAGGAAATCAAATTTGAAAGGTTTTCTTTAAAAGGCTTAAAATAATAATGATATATTTAGATTACTTTTCCTTCTAATATATATTAATTATAGACTGGTTCTAATACATCTAAGAGTGTACGATCTCCAAGATTTGCTCTACCTAATTATTTAATACGCTTAATTCCTTCTGCTACACCTTTATTCCATTATTCTTCAGTATCATTTTCTGGGTCTTTTACTTAACTACTAAGTCCAAAAATAAAACATCCTAAAATTGGACCACTTGATCCACCCATACATTTAGCTAGTTTATCTCCTATTTATTCTAAATTTAAATGTTCACCTAGTTCTAATAGACCAAGACAACCATTTTTAATTGATTATCCAAAATCACCATCACCAACTTACTTATCGTAATAATTGAATTAATCTTCTTCTTTAATTAATTCTTAACAAATATATCTAACTTTTTAAACTTATTTTTTTGTCAAAGGAATACCTTAAATTTATTAAATAGTTTCAAAAGAATATATCTTTAATTTTGGATTAATAACAACATTTAAGTTTGGAGATTATTTTGATGCCCACTCAAAGATTTTTTCATCATCATTTTTTAACACTGTTAAAGATATTCCATGCATTTCTAAAGATGTCATTGCTCTTCCCCAAATTAAACATTTTATTCGTTAATTTTATTAAAGTAAATCATAGATTAATTAATTCATCTCTAAATCTGTTGTTCCTCCTAAATTATTGAGTAATACTATTAATTCATCTTAATTAGTGACACTCAATATTTTGGACATTATTTAGATAATATTTTAAGAGGAAACTAATTATTACTATGTTAAACCTTTTTCACCATGAATTCCTAAACCAATCTCCATTGTTCCATATTAAAATTGATAGTTTTATTTTTGACCAGGAAGTGTACAAGATGATAAACTAACTCCTATAGTTGCAAGTTTTTAATTGATTGTTATACCTAGTTAGTATAATTATTCAAGATCCATCTCTTTAGCAGCTTCAGATAGAATTTTATAAAGTAATACTGTACCAGCGAGACCTCTTCTATCATATTCAAAGGCATAATCATCATTTACTATAAGAATTCTTGTATTTACATTTGGACAGTTTTAAACTGCTAATGTGAAGTTCATTATATCACCAGTATAATTTTTGATGATTACAAGTACTCCTTAATTGTTGTTGTTTTCATTTAAATAATTTATAGCAGATTGAACATAATGATAAGGAGGTGAAGTAAATACATTACCACATACAGCTGCTTAAATAAATGAACCTACATATCCTGCATGAGCTGGTTCATGACCTGATCCTCCACCACAAAGAATTGAAGGATGATCAGGTACATTTTTCAAAGTGATTACTTATGTTCCAGGCAGTATTGTGAGTTCATCATTCAATGAACAGATAACACTTAAAGCATTTCTAACAAGATCAATTGGATCATTTATAAACATTTTCAGAAATTATTTTTATTTTATTACTTTCTTCATTTTTATTCAGAAAATAATATTATTTCTTCAATTTTAAGCAAACGATAGTCAACATTTTTATATTTTTGCATTTCACAACATGTACCAACATTCTGATTCTTTATGACAATCCATTTAATATCAAGAATTTAAAAATTTATCATATTAAAGTTAAATTCACTCCTTAAATTACAATACCCTTTATATTAGAGTTACTCTTTCACTTTAAATATATTTTATCTAATCAAAATCATTTTTTATCTATCACTTGTATTAAGTTGTTTTTTTATTTTATATACTACTCAGCTTTTTTATTTTATTGCTCTTCTTATTATTTCAATTTATCTTACTTTATCTTAAAATATTAAGATTAATCAATTTATGCTATAATTTAAATATATTTTTTTAAAATGAATAATATTTTATTCATTATACTTTTTTATATATTAGAACTATTAGTTTTCTTTTATGATACATTGAGTCTGATAAAACAAAATATTTTAATTCAAAATGCTTGTAGACTAAATCATAGGATATTTTTAAATTAAGTTGGATTTGGTCTACTGGCTATTACATAAAGGCAAAGAGATCTATATATTTAAAGAAACTCAATACTCAATTCCTTATTAACTTAATTTTACATTTAAATACAGAATTTAATTGAAAAATAATTTTAAAGATATTCGTAAGAATGATACTTCTGATTTTTAGATAATCTGATTCTCTCAATAGAACTTCTTTTGTAGTCTGCACACCAAGCATGAAAAAATGCAACTTATGATGATTTTGGGTTCTTAATAAAATATGATGATGAAAATCTTTAATTGATATAAAATAATATTCATTCCCTTACTTGAATATAATAGCAATATTCTTTTTGTATCTTGATCAAATTTTATTTCTCATTATTTTGAATTACTTTCTCTTGCCTAAAAAGTTTTTAAAGATTGATGGCTTAATTTCTATATAATTATTAACAGCTTTATAAAGGAATTCTATGTGTTATTTAAATTCTTTAAATTCAACAGCTTACGTCTAACTGATCGTACTTATGAATAATATTATTAAAATTATTAAATTCCTTAATCTAATCTTTAATCTACTGAATAATTAATTATGTTGATATGTCTGATAGATTGTTAATTTTAAAGTTATGTATTTAACAAATCTCAGTAAATTTATCTTCAAAATTAAATCATACATTATAATATTAAAGATATGTTTCTAAAATTAATTCCTATGAGGTAAGATTGGAACATTATAAAATTAATAATAATTAAATTTATTTCTAATAATTTTCATAAATGGGATTACAATTCATGAGTTATAATTAGTTATTTTAGATTAATTAAATGTAAAATAATTATTTAAGAATCACTTAAATTAAAAATTTAAAGATTTTCTATTTTTTTCTCTTCTTTCAGTATTATAAGTTCTTTAAATATTTTAATTTAACTATTTTTTTTGAATTAAACAATAAAATTATCTTTAATCTTTTCCTTTTTAATGATAAACTCATTTTTTATAAATTACCTTTCTGTTTTTTTTTGTGATTTCTTTATTCCATATACGCAGTTCTTCAAATTTATTTTCTGTAATCAAATCAAATATTATTTTTTTTTTAAAGCATTTAGATATTTTATTCCAATTTTCCAATAATTTTAGTTTATCATCAATTAAATACAATTCTTCACAATTCTTAAATAATTATTTTTATCAATTAATTTTTTAATTTCATTAAAAATTGCCAATTAAAATTGGTCTTTAATATCTTTGATTATCTCATTCTTCCATATTTATTCTATAGAATTCATAATAAAATTAAAATAATAATAATTTTTTATTTTTGTAAATACAGGAATGATAAGATTTTCAAAACAGGAATGATAAGATTTTCAAAACAGTAATCATTTCTTTAATTTCCAAATATCAAATTAATTTAAGTTAAATATATTAAATCATTTTTATTTATTTAAAGCTGCTCTCCATCAATTATGAATAATAAAATTGGTGACCTTAATTTGATTCTCATCAACTATAATTTTTTTTGTATTACCTAATGTTATACTTCAATTTTATATTCATTTTTATTAATCATATTAATTTTATAAGCTACTACAGACATAAATATCCTATTGAATTTGGATCATTCTATTTAAATTAAAAGTAATTCAAGAATTGATCCAATTGATCAATGAATAAATTGTCATATTTATCATAACACTGACTTTAATCTAAATGTATTTTTTATATGAAATCTTACAATAATTGATTGGTTAGATTTCTCATTTATTAAACACACATATAATATCAAATAGTTTATCAAAAGATCCTTCAAGAATTTAATAAACACAATTAACTATTATATGATTTTCAAATCTTTCTAATCATGATTCTTTTGTTTAAAATGAAACAAAATTCCATTTAATAGTTTTATTGTCTTTAAATAAATTCTTATAAAAATATTCTAAATCTATACAAATTCTATAGATTGATTTTTTCATCATTTTTTATTTTGTAGAAACTCACTTAAAAATCCACTTTACCATTTTCTATCTTTACTGTTATTAATTGATAACTCCAGCAAAAGAAGTGAGTAACTTTAAGAATTTGATAAATCAATATAAAATAAAAATTTTTAGACATGATTTTTATTTCGTAATTGATATACTAATGTTATAAATTTGATTAAACATTTAAAGAATTATTTCCCTTACATCATATCGATGTCTCCTTGTAAATTTTGTCCATTATTTTCGCATTAAATGAATTTTTTGTCAATAGATTTTAGTTTAACTAAAAATTTTAGAAAATTAATGGATCTTTTATTTCCATTTATTCTATTGATTATATCATGTCTTGCTGTCATGAAAGCTTCTGCGTAATAGTCAATTTTAGTAAATTGATGATCGATAATTTTTTTAAAACATTATAAATTTTCCTAATTTCTTTTTAGTGGCAAAAAATTCGAAATGATTTTGGTTTACTGGCATTTTAAGAAATTCAAGGATATCTAAAATTTTCTTTTCCTTAAGTTATCAAATGATCAATTAATATTGATTCATCAATATCTCATAGGTAGGCTAAAATTTCATAAACATCTTTATTCTTTTCAAAAACTAATATTTTTCTTGAATCTTCTATAGTTATAAATTTAGCTTTTAATTAAATGTTTACATTTCTTATTCCCACCATTGGTCTATTCCAATTCAAATATTATAGAATTCTTTTCATCACTCCATATATTTAATTTCGCTCCTTCCAGTAACTTTTTTAAATAAGTAAACGAAGTTTGTGCTTGATTTGTATTATTGTTGATAAGATCAATAAATAATTTGTTTTCCTGTTTAATCAAATAATATATTCATTTGATTGTCACTTATAATATTTTCCTCAGAGTATTTTAAGTCTAAAAAATTATGGATTTATAAACAATTCTTTATTTGGTTATTTTAGATGTCTGGTCAAGCATCTATTCTTATAATTTCTTGATATTCATTTCTCTAGCTGAAAAGTAGATTTCAAATCTACTTCATGTACATATTGGCATTCTACATAAAGTTTCATTTAGCATTAACATTTATGAGGAGCTATACATATTATTCATATTTTGGTAAGTATAACAATGACCACGCTCCATATTTTAAATTGTTGATTGATAAATCAATATACAATTAGAAAAGACAAACATTTTAATTATTATTTAATATTTGGATTTTAAATTCTCTTACTTTTATTACTATGGGTCATTTTTTCCACTTTAATCCAAATATTAAAATCTTAACAAAAAATAATAAGACTAATAAAAATTTTGACAATCTTATTTAATTATGTAAGACTATTCTCAAACTTATCATTATTATCTTATTAAGAAAATATAGATAAAATGTTAAATTAAATATTAATGAAAATAATGTTAGATAGTTTTGATAATTAATAAAGATATATCATGAAGCAAAAGCAATTAATTTTTATTTTATTTGATATAAGTTTTTAATTTAATAATTTTTCTGTAATTCTACTAATGGTATATTTAAATCCATATCAAAGATAGTTTTTCAATGTGCCAGATAGTGTGACTCAAACTTTGCTTTCATTCCTAATTGATGGACACATTAACTTGCCTTCATTTTTATTAGCAATCTCATTATATGATGATGAAACTAATATATTATAATAAAAATAATTGAAGATAATTTATATATATAGATAAGGCTATACAATTAAAAAAGCAAAAATTTAGACATATAAGAATTTTATGAATTTTTTCATTTGAAATATTTCAGAGATGAATTCAAAAATAGTTAGAAATTTCTGATTTGCATAATTCTCATCTATTAAAGATATTCCATTTTCATTCTCACATAAAGTATTTTATTAAATTCGGAGATCTATTTGGGTTAGTTACTCTTATTTAATTTAAGTTCTGCCTATTAATTTTAACTAAGCCATAATAAATACTTTATTATCATTTATTATTCTCTTAAAATAAAAATTAAAAAGTATTGAACGAAATCCTATACTAGTTCGATATTATTAAAATTTCTTTGATTTTAAAAATAGAACTCAGTATATCTATAATTCAAATGATTATGATCTTTTATCATCGAAAATTTTAATCTTAAAGTAATAAATAAAATTCTATACTTTCATAATTATATGCCTGTTATTTTAATAAATTAATAGACATATAAAATGAAATAACCATAAATGTGAATGTATAAAATAACATCATCATTTAATATATTTAAGTCGATATTTTCAATTCAATATTTAAAATATGACATATAAATTATATTATATTTATTTTCAAAATATTATAAGAAATCAAATAAAAATATAAAATGACTTTAATATTTAAAACAACCGCTTTGAATTAAATAATTATAATATAGAATTTTAAATAAGGTTTATGAAAAAGAAAAATAAACTATCAATATTTTGAAGAAGAATTATATTTTTATTCAAATTTAAATTACACTAATTTTACAATATTGTAAATTAAATTTTAAATAAGTTATAAAAATAATAATATAAAGATATACTGTTCCATAATAAAAATAAAAAAAGAAATAATTATTAATCTAATTGACTCATTCTTGATTAATAAGAATAAAAGAAAATAAATTTTAATTTTAAAACGAAAATATTTTATAAAAATTTGTCCAACAAAATAACAAATTCAGTAAAGCATACCATAGCTATATTAAGACTTCAATCTGGCCTTTTGATTAATAACTTTATAAGATATATTTAGTTTTAATGGAATTCTAAAATAATATAAAAAACTAAACGTTTTAAATATAATTTTCATCTTTTGAAAATCAATAATTATTCATGATTTAATGTGATTTTTATTGGAATTAGTTGTAAATGATGTTGTTTATAATGTTTACTTATGTCATGATAGGTTAAAAATGAAAATATTGCCAGAAAATAAAAAAACAATGATCTACATTATAAAATAAGTCATATTTTATTGATATTTGTATAAAATGGATAATTAATTATTATATTAAATAAGGCTAAAAAGATATGAAGTATTAAACTTCTACATTTTATTTATCAATAGTGTTTAGTTTGACCTTTTGCTCATAATTTAATGAAGAGTTACTGATTAGTAAAGAATATCCTATGGAAAGGATATATTTTCCAGAAACTTATGAGCCATTAGAAATTGAAATTGAATTTTGGAGTTTTTATATAACAAATTAGTAAATGACATCTTATCCTTTTGTGGATAATGAACCTTACTAAAATAATACAAAAAAATAACTAATATTTATGATGAAAACTCTAGATGATAATGAGGTTTTAGCATTTATGTATACGACTTTGGTAACAAATTATTTTATAACTCATAATCTTTATGTTGAAGGTTAAATGGAATAGATGTATTATTTGCCATCTGAATATGAAGGAATTTGGATTTTACATGTTTTTGCTATTTATGGATAAGATATATTCTTTGAAACTTTGGGAACTATAGACGTACATAGTTCTTATTATTTTTATATAAATAAGTATATAACAGAATCTGAAATATATATTGGAGGATCTTCATTTGTAATTATAATATAAATAATTTTAGATTAATAATTAATATGAATTATCAGTATTTAGAGGAAGATTATCCAAAATGTTCCTTTTTGATTAATACAGACCTATTTAGACAGTATATTCTTAGAGAATATCATATTTGAGATAAAATGAATATTAATATACAGTAAATTTGATTCCAGATTTATTTAATTTTGATGGAATAGTATAAAAAGAAATTGAGTTTGAATAATTTGGAAGGAGATTTTGTTTATATGGATGGGTAAAATATTATACATTAGATTCATATTCATTAAAAAAGTTTTTATTAGTAAGATTGACATTATATAAAAATTATTAAGATGAAATTAATTTAGGAGATGAATTATTAAAAATAACAGTAGATATAGATTTATCAGGTAAATAAAAAAGTGGATATGATGTAATATCTCATCATTATTGGATGCCAAATCTTTTTGGATTAAATGCATTAGAATAATCACCATCAACTGATATAATTAATTTAAGAGATGACTTACCCTATTTAGAATTATTATCAAAATGGCATTTTATTTCATTTGAACATGGAATTTATTTTGAAAGTTAAAGATCTTAATTTAAAATTAATTATTTTGATAATAATGATTTAGTATCTAATACATATTATCTTGGTAATTTTAAGTTTAATAATCTATTTATAAATACAAAATACTATGCTATTTTTGGAGGTGATTATACTGTTTATCAAAAAATGAAAGGATAAATATATGGATTTTATTTTAGATCAAATTATTAAGATGACTTAAACATTCAATTTAGTATTACTAATATTTATTTTTAGCTTGTCATTATAGTTGTTTAACTTGTAATGGGCCAATGTCTACAAATTGTTTATCTTGTAAAGATAATAATCAAAGAATCTATTTAGAAGAATCTCATTAATGTATTTGTCCTTTAGGATAATTTGAAAGTGATTAAAAATGTTAATCTTATTAAGATTTATCTGAAACATTAAATTTTAAGGAAATAAATATTGAAGTATCAAATTCTTAATGTATATTTGGATATTTTTATTTACCAAAAATTCAATAATGTATAGAATGGTATAAATATAATTATATATATAAGTCCATAATAAAGTCCTTATAATTTATTTTGCTTAGATTGTTTATTGAATCCTACTGATTGGTATATTCGACCAATTTGTACTACTGATTTTATAACATAATAGGTTAATAAAGAAGAAGATGCTTTTACTAAATAAATAAGATCTGCTTTAGATTATGATTTATATTATATAGATAATGAAAATAATGTAATTTTATTAGAAGGAGTAAATGATTATTGTGATATAAAGAAAGTAAAAACAGAAAATTGTTTTGAATTAAATGTTTAACATTTATCAAGTATTACATTTGGTATTTGTAAATAAAATAGATATTATTCTAATCTTAGATGTATTTTATTAGATGTTGCATGTATTTAATTAAATCAAAATAATAACAAATGTATTTAATGTTTAAATGGATATTATATATCAGAGGATGGCTATTCTTGTTTATAATGTCCAAAATAATGTTAAAGTTGTTATGCATTAAATAAATGTTAATCTTGTGAACCTAATTTTGGACTTCATAATGAATAATGTGAAAGATGTGGAGACTTTTGTAAAAATTGCAAATATTCTGAAGAATTATAAATAATGCAATGTTTAACTTGTATAGATAATCATTTATATTTCTTATCATTAAATACATAAGATTGTAAACATAATGAAATAGCCAATTGCAAATATGCATTCGAAACTTCAGATTATAATCAATCTATAAATTCATTAGACCACAATTTTTAACCTTATTATAATTAAACAATTATTCAATGTGCAAAATGTTAAGATGGTTATATTTATTTTGATTTCAGAAGAACCTGTGAAGAAGATGTAGTCAATATGGAAGGTTGTTTTTAATCTTTTATACGACTTTAAGGAGAGTATATATATTAAGGTTGTCTATATGGTAATTATAATGAAAATGCCTTAATAATGTCATTTTCTGATTAATGTCCAAGACTTAAATTAAATTGTATATATTGTGTAATTGAATTATTAACAACTCATACTGTTAATGGATTATAAATACCTAAAACTGCTTCTTATACATGTCTTGCATGTGAAAATGGTTATTATGCTTCAAAAAAAACTGGAGAATGTTAATCATGTCCACTTCAATTACATTGTTTGAGTTGTTATTAGTAAAATAAATTTACTAAAGATCATTGGAAAACTGAGATCCGTGCTTATTATAGAGATTTCATTGATACAAGATTTGCAAATCATAAATTTAATGATTATGGATTAAGTTAAAATGATTCAGATTATGAAATACTATGCACTTTATGTGATGAAGGATATGAATTTTATGGAGATAAATGTATTGAAATTTGTCCTGAATCATGTTTAAAATGTGTTATCAAAAATGATAAAAATATTTGTGTTAAATGTCCAAATAGTTTAAATGGAAGAAGTCTTAGTTTAATTGATAATAAATGTGTGCAATGTCCATCAAATTGTAAAATATGTAGTGAAAGAGATTAAAAATAAGTACATTCAATTAATCCATTATTTAATAATATAGAATTTACTCATTTCTCTTATTATTGTATATCTGGATCAGGAATATTAGATTAAGAATTAGGAATATATGTAGATTGTTAATACGATTCATGCATTAAATAAATTGTTATCAATCTAAATTTATATTGTGATTTAGATGAATATAATAATTAAATTGATTCATTAACAACCACTGACGATAAGATTAAATTTAAACATCAAACTATTTTAAGTGACGATTTATTTTCCAATTCAAGTTTTAAATATGTAAATATTCACATAATCATTTTAGTTCGAAACATAAGAATTTTATAAAATAGCTAATTAAAAATCTATTAAATTAATCTTGATTAAAATAGTTAGTAATCATTAATAAAGTTGTCAAGTAACTGATTAATTATCAATCTCTTAAAATTTTAGTACAAATATATTTTCAGCAATGTAATTATAATTCTTAATTAATATAGAAATGTAGAACTAGAAATATATGGTAATGGAAATACAGAAATTAAATTTTAAAAATAATTATTATTTGCCAATTTTTCAAGAGTTCACATTGAAGGAATTAAATTTAATATACAATATTTTAATTTTGGTCCAAATATACTATAATTTATGAGTCCATTCCAATAAAAAATCGAATTAGTTAATATAATCTATTATTAAGAATCTAAATTAACAGCTTATTATATTAATATAACAAATGCTACTAATGTATTACTATAAAACATATTACTAAAAGATTGCACAAGATATTTTCCAATTGAAGCTTTTATCAAAATTGAAAAAACAAAATCTTAATAAACTATTAAAATTAAGGATTTTAGTATCTTCGATAGTTAATTTAATAATTTACATTTATTTTGGTTTGATCTAAAAGAAAATGATTAAGTTGAAATGACAAATATTAATGTTAAATAAACATTTTTTAATTAATCTTTAATATATTAAACAAATGGATATTTATCATTGAATTAAATACAAATAAATTCATGTAACATATCATCTTAAACGGGATTATTTTAGATTAATAAATTAATAAATTTTAAATTAGTTTCTTTAGTATTTAAATAAAATTTAATTAATTAAGGTAAAATATTTAATCTTAATCAACATGTAAATTTGATTAATCTAAATTTTATTAATAATGAACTCTAAGGAAATTCCTTGTTAATTTATAATGAAAAAGTTAATATTGAAAGTATTTTTGTTGAGAATATTCTATTTTAATTAAATACATTTAGTGAAAATGCATCATTTATGAAAATCATTTTAATCACATTACTTAATAAGGAAATAATCATTAATTAAATATCTATTATTGAAAATTATTTGTTGTAAAATTCATTTTAAAGTACATTAAATATTTTGAATATAACTTTAATCTATTTGGAAGCATAGACAGTAAAAATTGATTAAATGATGATTAAAAAAGTATATGGTATAACTGATTTAGTAATTTTAAATGTTAATAAGTTGCAATTAAATTAAATATCAATTTAACAACATGATAAACAGAAATTTAAAGGGCTTTATTAACATTTTGATTGTTTCAAATAATCTATTCAAAATTAATTTAATTATCCTTGGATTAAAATTTATGATGTGGCAATAATTGAGATTCAATTTTTAAATATAACAAAAGCCTAATCGATTAATTACCCAATTATTGAAATTAAGACTTCAATCTTTACATCATAAACCTTAAAGTAGATAAAAATGTCATAAATGCGTTTTATTGAAAATATGCTTATAATGACTAACAACATTAACATAGCTTCAATTATGAAAATAATATCTGAAGAAAATTATGATATAGAAATAGAATAATCAACATTTGAAAGAAATTTGATGCATCAATATGAATATATTGATTAAATCAATTCAGGTTTGATATTCTATGTTGATTGTAAGACTTGTACATTCTTTTTTAATAATGTATAAGTTTAATAAAATATTGTTACAAACTCTTCTAATAGCATTTTTAACTTTTAAATTAAAAGTATAGATATGTATAATTGCAGCTTTATAGAAAATAACTTATACAATTATTCAATTTTACAGCCTTATTTATTTTGGGGTTATAAAAAAGATTAGTAGATATTTATTGAATAGATAAAAGAAATATTTCCAATAAAAGTTAAAACAGGAAATGCTAAAATTGTATGTCAAAAAATACTAATAAAAGATATTATAATTTCTAACTCTACAGTTTCAGGATTTTATATCTCATTAGAAAAAGAAGCTTTTGTCCAAATTTAGAATGCTATAATTAGTTTTATTTATCCTTCATTTTCTAGTGAAGATGAAAATGGTGGTGCCTTTTTGATTGATACTTCTTCTTCTTTTTCTTCAATAATTAAGTTAATAAATATCTATGCTACTTATATTCACTGCAGAAATAAAGGTGGTTTATTATACATTTCAAATGTTTTAGAGGGTGCTACAATCTAAGTTTAAAATATTGTTATTCATGATGTGTATTCCTTAAAGGGATCATTATTTTATTTAGACTTTTCATAGTTTACTAAATTGAAACAATAATTTATTCTTGAAAATTTAAAATTGACTAATTCGAAATAAGAATTTTTGCAATTTATTAGCACCTTTAATGAACCTAATAGCTAATTATTATCAGAATTAGCATTTGGTAGAAGTTTGTTCGAAATAAATAATGCAAATTTAGTAAGTTTATAAAATATTATGATAAACTCATTATTTTATGAATCTTTCGCTATTTTATCATAAGCATTAACATTATAATTAAAAAATTGCAGAATATCAAATTCATCACTTTAAAACTCATTATTAATTTTGAATTTAATGAAAAGTAACTCTACAATAAGAATTGTAGAGTTTCATGTAATAAATACTTAAATCTTGAATCAAATACCTATAATAGAAAAATGTACTTTATATTCATTAAATATTAAAATTGATCCTTAAATCTGTTCAAAAGATATAGCCTTTTAAGAATCCCCTCTTTTATTATTAAGTGAATAAACCCATGATAATTTATATAAAAGTTATTGCATAATTGGTAAAATGAATATGCAATAATCAACAATACAAAGTCTTATAGAAATTAATCCTTAAATGACAGTTGTAGAGATATCTGAACTTCATTTAAAAATGATTGAATGTGAGATATGTAAAAAAGGGTTATTAAGTATAAATATTTAAGATGCTTAGAGTAAAATAACTATGAATTAGATAATTTTTAATAATAATTCATGTGGTAAATAAAGTTGCTTAAATATAGTAAAATCTATTTCAGAACTTAGAATTTTATAATCCTTAATCTAGAATATCAATGAAAAATAATATGATTTAAGATTACAAAATTATAAATGTGTTCAAAACTTTGCTTATAGAGGTACTTGTTTATACATACAGGATATTAAAACTTTAATAAAAGATTCTATTTTTGAAAATAATACTGCTAAATCATAAGGTGGATCAATCTATGTAATTGGAAATAAGAATTTTTTTGTATTGAACTCTGTAATTTAATTTAATTAAGCTGAATTTGGTGGAGGATTATTTTTAAAGGATTAGATAGTTTAAAATTTAAATAAATAAGAAACATTAATTAATAATAATATAGGATTATAATTTGGTAGTGATTTTGCTTAACTTGCTTCTCAATTATCAGTTTAAATTGATATAGATAATATTCTACCGAAAGTAAAGGTATTTGAAAATGAAAATACTCTAATAGAAAAAGTTAAAATTGGAAATTATATCTTATTTTAAAAAAGTTATTCTGACTCATTATATGTTCCAAATGGGTAAGTATTGTCTTAATATTAATATTTTGATTAGATAAAATAAACGTATACGTAATATAATTTGCATTTAAGATTAATTCCATTAGATTAATTCACCAATGTTTAAAAAAATTTAAATAATACTTATTGTTTAATAAGTGGCAGGATACTTAATGAGAAAGAAGAATCAAATTTTACTTCAGAATTTACAAATTTTAATAATGTAACATTCAATTAATCAGATTATTATAATTTTGATAATATAATCTTTTACTTAGATGATTAATAGAATAGGACATATTAATTTTAATTTTAGTGTAATTCCATATTCCCTCCAATTTATGGAAAAAATTAAGAAATTGTAGGATATCACAACAATTATATCTTAAGAATGAATATTAAATCATTACCTTGTTAATTAGGTGAAATTAAAAGCATTTTTGACGGTACTTGTATACCTTGTAATGCAACATAAGGTTTATATTCATTAGTTCTTAATTCTAACACATGTTAATAGAAAGATGATTTCTCAACAAGTGAAATTAAATCAGCATAATTAAAATTAAAACCAGGGTTTTGGAGACCTTATTTTGATACCGATGATATTAGTTAATGTATAAATTTACTAGATAATTGTAATGGTGGATGGATAGAAGGGGATACATCTTGTTATGATGGTCATGTTGGAGCATTATGTGAAGAATGTGATATTTATAATATTCGAGGATTAGGATATTTTTCAACAAATAAAAAATATACTTGTGGCTCTTGTGTTGATAATAAATAAAATATTGCTGCAATTACTGCAATAAGTTTATGGTATATTTTTGATATTATTAATTAAGGACTTTAATTTCAATATTAATTTCTGTTAGAAGTAATATATCAATGAATGAATAATTGATACTTAAAAAAGTTATTTCTAGACTAATAAAAACTAATATGTAAAATCACTCTAATTTTGGTATCCTAATAAAAATGACTACTAATCATTTGTAAATAGTCTCTGTTATTTTTACTTTTAAATTTAATACATTAATAGAAGTAGGCAATATAGTAACTGCTATTAGCAATCCAATTTAATCTATGACTCATTCACTAGATTGTTTATTAAAAGACTTATTTGATGTTTAAATTCATTATTCAAGAATGATATGGTAAATAATCATGCCCTTTATTTACATTTCTTTATTTTTAATATTATATTTGGTAGCTTTGAAAGCAAATCAATTAAAATATAGTTCAAGTGTAATATCTACAACATTAATATATATGTACATATACATTTAACCATTTTTGGTGGGAAGATTAATTTCATTGATATCATTTAGATAGATATCTGGATTTTATTGGATTTAAGCTAATATTGCTTATCGATATGATACAGAACATCATTATGAATGGCTATTCAAATTTTGTCTACCACTTTTAATTTTCATTTCTATAATAATGCCATTATTTTTTTTTATTTCTTTGTATTTAAATAAATCATCATTAAATTCTAAAAAAACTAAGTAAAAATGGGGTTATTTATACAATGAATATAAAATCTAAGCCTATTACTGGGAAATAATTAAAATTATTATGAAATAATTACTCATTATTTTTCTTTCATACTATGACGAAAATATTGTTAAAAAAGGCATACTATTATTGTCATTAGTCTATTTATATTGGGAATTGAGTAGAAAATATCAACCTTATTAATTATACATACTAAATTAATTAGATGCTTATTCAGCTAATGTATGTGGAATATCTATTGCAGTTGGAATAGGAATTTATATTGATTAATAGAATAATTCATATGAAATTTAGATACCATATTTAATTATTCTTTTTGCTCTTAATTTACAATATTTGGTAAAAATTCTCAAACAAATATTATTGGCTTTTGCAGAAGAAAAATCGGTTTTGGTTGACAAAATTAAAGAAATAATTACCACAAAAATTCCATGTATTACAAAAAATAAAATGTTTCAAAAATTGTTGTCAAATCGAAATGTCCAAAAATAAAGAATAGCTCTGAGGTATGTTAAATTAAAAAAATACTTAATTAGCTAAGCTTAAAAAAATCTTTTAATTAAGAATTCCAATGGTATTAAAATTATATCACATTTAAATACATACAAGACTTCCATTTGATGATAATAAATTAATTGTATTTAAAAATTTAATTCTTTTTATCTTCTTTTTTAAACAATCATTTTCCATTTTGTTATTATTTATAATTTAATAAAATACTTTATTATTAATCTTTTTCTCATAATTTTTATTGCTTAAAAATCAATTTGAAAATCTCAATTGCTAAATTATCACTTTTAATAAAATTTTAATTAATCAACTATATTAATTTCAAAGTGTAACTTTACATATCATCAATGGACATATTTATCACTTATTGAGATTTTTAAAAATATTAGAATGAAATTTTAAGTATTATGGGTGATTTCAATTATTTTAAAAATAAGAAATGCGCAAATATTA